CCCTCCCCCCCCCTTCCCAAAATGACTATTTTAACAAAAGAAGTAGTAACATTTCTTCTTTCCCCACAAATTTAGATTTAATTTCTGAGTGTATTTTGTGTATTCTCACTGTGAATTAGGAATTTGTTGTGATTCCTTTCATAGCAGGTACATAGAAGCCACTCTGCAGAGCTTGTGTGATTTTGATGGCAAACTAAGCCATTTGATTTCTGATAACATGTTTTTTATGTAAACTTCCAGTAAAACCTATTGTTCAAACATCTTAAAACAACTAGGATTTGGAAAATTGGTAAGTTTCAGCATGAAGCTGGAAGAAAAATAAAGCAGTGATATTTGCTTAGTACTAACTGTACAAGGGGGGAAAACTGCAAGTTTTAAGATCCAGCAACACCTGGCATTAAATGGAAATACATTAGGTCTTGATTTCTGTAACTTTTTCTGTTATACATCCTTTCCTCTTATGCAAGTAATTCCACAAAATACCCATTATTTGTATTAGCCTATAATATCAACATTTCTTAGTGAATGTCTTTGGTTGAAATTAGAAAAATAGCAACTGCTTCTGGAGTAAAGCATTACAAATCCTCTCCCCCAAAAGAAATCATCAAATGATAGAAAATTGGTCCAGAATTCATCTCAAGAGGTTGTTCAGTCTGGTTTCTTGTCTAAGAGCAGAAGCCTGTGACTAAACTATTCCTGGCAAATGTTTATTTTACCTTTTCTTTACAACTTCCAGTGAGGGAGATTTTATCATTGCTCAAGTCATTCAAGCTGTCCCTGCTGTTATAAAAAGGTGATGGTTTGGGATTTTTCTTGCCATCGCCTCCCCTCACACGTTCATGTCCAGTCTTAATTTTCTGTAGTTTAATATAAACCTGGTCTATCTTATCCCATCCACAATGGTCATGGAGTGCAGTGTTCTCTTCTTTGGAACTCCCTTGAGTTGAGTGACTTAAGGTCATTATTGTTGCTTTGTTCCTGGAGAAAAACTCTCCAGCCTGTCAGCTTTCCCTTCTAAATCGGGTTTTTCCGTTCTCTGATTAATCTTTCTTCTCTGTCCTCCTGACTCTCTGAAACCAATTAATCTTTCTTGAAATACAGTGTTCAAAACTGCACATAAAATTCCAGCTTAGCAGAGTGGACACACACACTACCCTGTTGTATACATGGTAACTGTAAATATTAAATGATGTTTTCTTTTTTTTTTTAGAAAAGTGTCCTCTGAAAATTAATACCAGCTGCAAATTCAGTAAAAAAACCTGGATACTGTTATCAAAGTTTTTACTCAATATTTTTCATTGAGTAGACCAAACCTCTGTGGAATGTCCCTTGCTTCAGCCTTTCAATTGGAAAGCAAACCCTGGGTAACCAGGGTATAATTTTCTGAGTAGTTTTTACCTGCCATGTTTTCCTTGGCTTGCCCTTTGGGAATTTATGTGCGGTGAAGTTGGAAGTCTTGCTGAAGTTGTGAAGCATAACATCTCTGGAATTTCAGCTTGGGTACAAAAATAGTACTACTGCAACTTAAAGTACATGTAAAGTGAATCCTTCTTCATAACCATTGAGGTACTTTTAATTTGTGAATATTTGTAATAGCAGAGGTTTTCAAGGCTCCACATGTGTCCTGTGCTTGTGTTTGCTTATGAAGATTTAAAAAAGGAGCTCTACCAGTCCTTTCTTTTTCCTGTGTCAGCCTTATGGTGGGATAGAACCTGAGAAGAATCCCAATAATGTCAGAGGGTTTGCTCCTTTCTTCGGAGGCTCTATAGTCCTTCTCAGCCCCTCTGATTTTTCTCAATTAGAGGACCACACCTGGAGTGCTGTGTCCAGTTCTGGGCCCCTCAGTTCAGGAAGGATATTGAGGTGCTGGAGCAGGTCCAGAGAAGAGCAACCAGGCTGGTGAAGGGACTTGAGCACAAGTCCTATGAGGAGAGGCTGAGGGAGCTGGGGTTGTTCAGCCTGGAGAAGAGGAGGCTCAGGGGTGACCTCAACATTCTCTACAACTACCTGAAAGGAGGTTGTAGCCAGGTGGGAGTCGGTCTTTTCTCCCAGGCAGCCATCAGTAAGACAAGAGGGCATGGTCTCAAGCTGTGCCAAGGAAGGTTTAGGTTAGATGTTAGGAAGAAATTCTTTACAGAAAGGATAGTCAGGCATTGGAATGGGCTACCCAGGGAAGTAATGGATTCTCCGTCCCTGGAGGTTTTTAAGAGAGACTGGATGTGGCACTTAGTGCCATAGGCTAGTAACTGTGGTGGTAGTGGATCAAGGGTTGGATTTGATGATCTCAGAGGTTCTTTCCAATCCGTCTGATTCTATGGTTCTATGATTCTTTGATTGTCTAAATGGAAGATTTTTGTGATCAGATGTGATGGATTGAAATGCAAAGGCATTAAGAGCCTGTACAGTTTTGGCTGTGGACTTATCCTGTTGAAATGGATACAGAAGAGAGTTTGTCTGTAGGATAGTGCTGAATACTGAGGTGATGCTTAGACACCTCTTTTGTCTCTTGCGAGGATGGAGAAGATTCCTGAACAGCATTTTTATGAAGGTTCAGGAAAGCCTGTTTGACTGAACTGTGGGACCTCAGATGTCTCCCAGCTTAGTCAAGCTGGAATATGGAACTGAGAGTGCTTTCCAGTAGTTTGGAAAAAGCAGAAAATCTGTTACCTGGTGCACCATATGGCTGCAGTTGGACATCAGAGTAGAAGCTGGGAATGTTGATCTATCGATAGGTTAGTTGTTTGCATGGCACAGATGTGTGTATATGTACCCAAGAGAGCAGCTTTACATTTGGCACCATTCTTCAGGCTGGCAGAGGTGCTCCTTCCTGCCAACTTGTTACAAACGCAAAGGGAGGCATGAGATGCCACCTATTTTCCTGAAGTGTGAAAAATTCTATACCTAATGAAGTGTGATGTGGGCTGACAATCCTCAAAGAGTTCTGTTTCAGAAATAAGGTATGTGGCTCTAATTTGATGTGTGTCAAATGTTAGAGTGCTTTTTACATAAAAAAATTTAAATCTGATAGTGGTGTTGCTACAGAGTTTTCTGTCTTTCACTTTTATGCTTCATTTGAATGAATCCAGTCCATTTATCTTAAATTTTATCTAAAGATTTAAAACATGTTGACACTTAAAATGTAGAATCAAAACTCTCCATATGCTTTTTTAGTTTTTTTAATAATAGTGCCGGGCGTCTGTACCTCTCCCTTTTTTTTTCCAACCATTAGACAGTCTCATTTTCACCTGGTTTTAAGTTGCTTTGCCTTTATCATGCCTGTGGAAGGTACTCAACAGAGTAATCCAGAAATTTGAACTAAACTGTGGTAGAATAAAAGCTATGAATCACCAGTGCCCTAGTAATTCTCTCTGTATTCATCAGTGCTAGATAATACATTTTATGTCATTAATATTTCTGGTGCTTCTAAATTTTCTCTTTGTTGCCTTGCTTAACATATAATAGGTTGGAAGGTAGATAGATTGTCAGCTTCCGAATTATTGCAAAATATCTTTCCAAGTTTCTGGAGAAATTTTCTTAGTAAACTTTTTGCCTTCCAAAAAAACCCCAGTTTAACCTACAATTTTATTGATCATGTGAGGGACTTTGATAGAATTTGTTGGTGAGCTTTCAGATAACTTGAACATAATGTTTCTGAATTTGAATTTGAACATAATGTTGTGACAACTTCAGACAATGATATTTATCAATTAATAGAAGACTTTGTATATTTTTTTACTCATAGCTGGGAAATATAAAAAGATGATTTAGATGCATGTAGGTTTTACCAGGAGCCTGAGTGTGGTTAAGAAGTCTGCTGCCTATGGAAAATGGAAAGTTAGTGAGATGGTGGGGTGCTGGCACTTGCAGTAATATCTGTTTTGGGAATTTGGCAGGGGAAGATATACTGAGGTGGGAGTCACAGGGTTGTATCCTAGACACTCAGTTGCTCTGGACTGGTAAATGCCTGTGAGTTCCACTGATGGTACTGACATTGGTCTCTCCACTGAAACACTGGAAACAACATTAAACGTAAGACAAATTAAAATTTCCATGTTGATGTGCCAACTGAATTTTAAACCTGTTGCAAGTTAACTGTTTAATTTGACTGGTCTTGACATTCCTGACATAAGTTCTTGGTCAAGTTATTCACTAGTGTAGACAGAATAAGCAAGGATAAAATCAAAGAGGGCTAATGATTGTCATAAGTATTAGCTGATGTGATGAAACTGTTCTCGTTAGACGGGTGGAGTGCTGGCTGCTCCAAACAGCTGATGGAGAAGCCCTTTCAGCAAAAAAAAACAACACTTCAGAAATATGTAGTGTTGTCAAATGCCAGGTTTTTTTTGGTTGAGTTTTCCAATGTTTCCTATGGTAGTACAGAAAAAGGATTGAAATATGTTGAAAGCCTTTTCTATTAAGAGATATGTTCCTTTTTTTATTTGTGTATTTTATACACTTTCTTTCATGTCCCTTGATGAGTTTCTTTCCTTTCCGATAACAGTCTGTTATCGATGAATTATTTTTTCTGAACTTTGCCTCTTACTTGTTTGTTTGGGGGTTTAAATTTTTTTTTTTTTTCTCCAAGCATGGTTTTATATCTGTTGCTAAATCAGTGTTCATCGCTAACACGATTTCTTTTTCACTCTTCCACTTACTCTTTTGGAATGAGGGCGGAAACATAGGTCTTGTCCATCTTTGCTTTCCAAGTGTATGTATGTATTTGAGTAATTCTGCACAAAAAGTTTTGCATGGTTTTGGGGAAGGAGGGACAAAGGGGAATTTGGGACTTGAGAGCATTAATAAAGTCTCAGGCAGGAATTGTTGTGACTTCTGCGATGGTAATTATTTCTGAACTTTCTGAACTGCTTCAAAATGTGATTGCATTACTGTGTGCGTCATTGCGAGAGACAGAAATTTGTCTTTTTTAAATTCTTACATCTCCCCACAAAAATGCTTTGGTATTACATAATTGCCATTGTTCTTTTGCATGTTTTTCATAGCATCCTCCTGGGCAGTTGAGAAGGAAGTACAGTTCCTGCTCCACTATTTTCCTGGATGACAGCACAGTCAGTCAACCAAACCTCAAGTATACCATCAAATGGTGGGTTTTACAATTTATTTGGTTTTGCTAGAACAAAATATTTATGTATTTATATATTTATGTATACATATTTCTGAATCATTACTAAGCAAGCTTCAAATTTTCAGTTTTTGAAGTAGTCAATTTATTTAATCAGTCATGCTGCAGTTAGTGAATAGTACGAGCAAGGGATATTGCTCATATGGTAGGTGAGGAAGCAACAGTTAAGGATCTCATATTTCAGCAGCTGAAATCCTCATTCTTCAGCATTTGATGCTTTGAATGAGTCCTAAAAACTTTGATGTACTTGTTTATTCAGAATTTTGGAATTATCTGAAATTGAAGAGCTCTTTTCTGTTCATGAGACAATACTCATTTGCTTATCATCCTTTTCAGTTTTCTGTTTTAAATGGAATAATTGCCTCTGGATTCCTTTCCTTATTAAATACTAGGGCACTGGACATGTATTACACCGCAGTGGGGAGCTTTGTATGTGGTGTGCACATGGGCTTACCCTTGGGTAATGTCTCAGATGAGCATTTCAGGTTTCGCTGGTGCCTTTTTACATTTGCTGAGAAATTAAATTGGTGTTTTTGAAGTATTGTTCTTTACATTTTGTAGAGTAAGAGGAAAAAAGTGAGACCAAATTCTCAGGCATTTTATGCTGTTTGTTCATAGTTGCTGATAGCCTCTCTTGACTTGTCTGTAGGCTGGTTACCTTGGTGTACTCAAGTGCAAAAATTTATTAAGTCAATATTTGTGCTGCAAATGTATTTACATGACAGACAGATATATTCAGACTAACACATACAAAGGAGTTTGTAATGTTGGTAGTCACTAAGACAGCTCTTAATTTTTCTGTGTAAGGAAAAAGGAGGGGAAAGGAGAAGGGTTTTGCAGTCGACTGACTCTTCATCGACTGTTTCTGGCTGAAATATAGTCTTGCTTTTCATCAAGTTTCTGTAATTAGTAACTTTAAAATAGTTCTGATGAACACTGGAAAATGGTTTTTCATTTTTGGGGTGTTGTTTTTTTTGGTGTGGTTTATTTTCTTCATCCTGGAATCTCATACTTTTATGGTCTAAAATCCTTTGTGTGCACATTTTTGTAAGTGCAGATTTTTGTGTGGGTTTTGAGATCCTTCTTACATCAGAACTGAGACTGCTCATGGGAAGAAGAGGTGGTTTCAGCTGGCTGCAGCAGCCAAGAAGCATTTCCAGGGAGTCCCCAAGGGGTCTGAGGGCTTGAAAAGGGGTTACATGGGGCGAAAAACTGGACTTTGGCCCAGAAGGCCTCTGGCTCTCCTGTCTGGCTGCACGTTTAACAGGGTGAGGGGTGGGGAGATTGTAGGATTATTGCTTTTGTAGTACAACTTCGTTTTTTGCCCCAATCCTGCCAGTCTCTGCAGGTAAATGACTGTTGCATGTAGGTTAATCTGTCAGGGAGGTATTCTGCCCACCTCATTTATTTCTTCTGGGTCATGTTATGAACTGGTGTGTTTAAAATATTAGTGTCTCCACTGGAGATCTGCAGCACGGAAGGGGCAGGGTGATGGAAAGCTCCATAAGCATCTTTCTTGCACAATGAGTGCCAGCTGAACCAGCATATGAAACGTGGAATGAAACTTGGATGAGGTAATCTGTTACAGCTCTGAAAGACTTTCATATTCTGATAGATTTCTAAATTCCTAAACTCAATTTGACATTTTGTTACAGAGGCAGCCATCTGGTCACCAAGCAGAGCTTTGCCCATAGATTCTTGTGTCTGCTTTCATAGAGTGAACTGGAGCTGCAAGTGTATTCCTAGTGGCATAATTTAAAATTAAATTTTAGGACTAATTCACTTTGGGAATAGCTTTCAGTCAAATTAAATTCATTCAGAAATGTGGGGTTTTCTTGTGTTCAGGTAATGACTGTGTCCTTTAAATGTCCATGGTACTCAGTCCATACTTACTCATGGTAAGGTATTATTTCTTAATACCTTAAATATATATGTCTAGAAAAAAGTCAAATTTATGATCTAAAGTCTTCTAATCCAGCCAGGTAAAAGCTCATACAAGCGTAGTGAAATATATTTACTGTCAACTGAGAAAAATATTTTCCCCTATATGGCTGTTCAAAATAAACCCCCAACCAAATTTGAAATAATTTCAAATTCTACTAATGAGGTAGCTTAAACATACTGTTTTCCTAACATGCATTACCTCAGTTTTCATGTAAAAATTCTGGAATAAAATTACTCTTAAGTAAAATTACTCTGAATAAAATTGACTCTTTTAAAAGGCCTTTTATGGAAAAGAAAAGGGGGGAAATTTGCATCAGTGTAAGACATAAGCATCTTACAATGAATCACTGACAAAACAAATTGTCAGCAAATAGAATTGGTGAACTCCCTCCTCCATCCTCTTTCCCCTTTAGCTCTGGCTGTGTGTAATGCTGCTGGAACAAGAAGGGAGGGTGCTGGCTTGGCTTTATCCTTCAATAAAGCTATATTGAGAGTAAAGCACGAGTCATGACTTGGAAACTGGAGGATAACCTTGGGGATCCATGCCTTAATTTTCTTCCATCTCAAATGGGAATGAGATCAGTTAGTTGTGTATGTAATCAAAATCTTAGCTTTCTGTGCATATAAGGAGACTTATTGTCTTTGTGCAGAAGATAAACAGAGATGCTTTGGTGTGTGGTTGAGAACATGAGAAATGCATAATGCACTAAGTTATTCAGGGAGTTGGCTTTCCTGAGTTAAAATAAGTAACTTGATGCCATAAAACTGCAGGAACCTATTATTTGAGTCTGCCATGTGAATAAATACATAGAAAGACAGACAAAAGTTATTGGATTCAAATATAAAATCATAAACCAGTGGTGATTAAACATTTTGTGTTAGCCTGTGATGCTTTATCTTCGACCTTGAAGTCAGTGGAGTTCTATCATTAACTTAGTGGAGCAGGGCAGTAAATGAAAGGTACATGCAACTTGATATGTGGAATATGAGTATTTTTGTAAGGTACTTAATTACCAGTAAAAAGGAGGCATTTGAAGTGTGCTGAACAAATCCTATAAAATTGTCTGTTTACAGCAGTTTTCCTGGTATCTAGCAGTGAACAAAAGAAAACAGCCTGTTGAACGTACTGTTTGTCAGTACTGTGCTAGGTTTTAAATTTGCATGTTAATATGATTGATAATATCATTTGACAGTCCTGATATATTAACTCTGTATTTTTCTTTACAGTGTAGCTCTCGCAATATATTACCACATCAAAAACAGGTATGTGAATAATGGAAAATTGTACTGAAAATATCTTTCATTGTAACAAATGGACTGCCCAAACCCTAAAAATCTGTGCTTTTTTTTTCCTTTCAAAATGTTTTTGGGTAGTAGTTTCCTTGATTCCCATGCTAGAAATAAGAAACATGTGTATTTTATATATATATTATTTTACATAGGAAAATTAAAATGGGAGGATTAAGTACCATAAGGATCTGGAAGTACAGTTCAACACGGAAAAACTTTGATGATTTAGTGTTTGGTTTTATGTACATTGGGCAGTTGTTCATTGTTGCTTTACATTGCAATTACGTATAGAAAAATCTGAATACTGTCTTTCAGTTTTATATTTTTAGCTACACCTTTGTAAAGTTAACTGTGTATATCAGTGACCAGTTAGTTAATGGATTTTGAAATAAAAACCATGAATTATAAAGCAAGAGGGACATTGTGAATAGCTGTAATTCAAGATTCCTCAGAAACAGAGCGGGTTCTGGCTTATCTCTTCTAGTGTAGTATGTTTTAGGTCTCTGCTCAGTAAAGTTGATTGAAATTGAATAGAAAAGTGGTCCTCTAAAAAGTAACTTGGCACATAAATGAGCTTTCTTCATGTTGAATTGTGCTTTTGTATCTTAAATTCCTTGTCCTCATGATATGTCACAGTATCCTAAAATAATATTTCCTGACATTTCTAAGGAGAGATTGTATAAATACTTGAAGTGACTTTTGTGTCCATGGCTTTTCAATTGGCCTTTTCAGAGAACTTGGCTTAGATCTTGATCTAACAAGCCACTGAGACTTTTTTTCTTGTGGACTATTAAGAAGTCAACTAGAACAAAAGGAATTACTCATGAGTTTAAAGTTCAGCTGGTACGTCATTCGGGACCATGTTTCAGGTCACTGGAACCCATCACACTTATTAAAACAAGGCTGACATCCCAAGAGAAACCTTTAAAAGTGCACAAGGGCAGAAAGGCTTAGGGCTTGATTCCTGCTGAAAGATCTTAGAAGACCTTCCAAGACATCAGTGGGCCACGGACTGAAACTGAATATATAAAGCAAAAGTTGGAGTGAAATCTTCTCTCAAACTTTTAATCTCATTTCCCAGAAAATGAGGCATGAGTGGTCATGCTTGGATTACTTGTTTATCCATCTGTGGTTCCTTTTCCACCTTTTCTCCATGGTCCCTGGATTAGTTTGGTTAACTAGTCAGTTTTTGCTATGCTCAACTAAATAACAGAGATCTCAAAGATAATCAGATTCCAGAGTTTTGAAGAAATAAGTTATTAAGTGCTTTGTTAAGTGTCATACCAGCTGAGTGAAAGGCTTGGGAGAATGGGGCACATTAGAGACTACAAAGGGTGAGAAACCTCAGTAAGAGCTCACAGGTGAGCAGGAAGAATCCAGAGCCACAGAACACCAGTGTTGTCTCATGCCAATTGCCATGGAGCTGATTTCTGTCTGCAGTAAAACATGCCCTTTTATGGACTTGCAGAACTTGATGCAAATTTGGCCTACAACTACTAGAGAGACTAAACCTTTATAAAATAAAGAGCCCCGTGTCAGCATCTTGAAAACAAATGCCTCCTGAATGTTACCTTCTTGGGAAAGTTGCTATCTCTCCTTTCACTTTTGGAGTGGAGAGGTGATTTATTCAGGAAACTGGTCGCTGCTGCTTCCTCCAGAACGTGTCTGGGGTGGGGAGGTGCTGTGCACACACTTGATTCAGGCGATCTCGGCAGCAATGCTGGAGCAGGATGTGTGCGTCAATTAACAGCTCTGAAATGAGGGATGTGGAATGACTGCTCTGTCTTTGGTTGTCTCTGATTTAGGAATGGAGGGACAACGTGATAACAGCACTCAGTTGTACTTGCTGCTGAAACAGCCAGAGCAAAACATATGTTCTGTTTCCTGCTATTATAGGCGAAAAGGAAGTTGTTGACGTATGTGGTAGATTGTGGGGGGTGGGGAGTATGTAACTCTTACAGAGACTCAGGGTTGATTTTGACATAAAACGAGTCAAGCATCTGCTCTGCCAGAGAAGAATTCTTTTCAGACAGTATTTAGTTGTTCCTTTGCTTTTGCACAGGATGCTTAAAACAAATTACCTCCTAATATATAAAACTCTCACCAATCTCAGGTTTTTTTGAGAAACTATACATGAAATTTAATATTTCTTCATATGTTTCCCACATTTCGTTTGATTGTAACATTCTGGTTATCATTCTTTTCCCAGTGCCTCCCTATCATGGTTATACTGCTCAGTTTTCTGCAGCTTTTGTTGTGCTTAGCTATTCAACAAGTGGTAAAAAACTGCACCCATTTTGTTTTTAAAGGAATGTATGAGTCATAGTTAATTTTCTAAATAAATAAACAAAATAAAATAAACCCTATCAAATTTAAGCGTGAAGAATGATTAGATCAATCAGTAGATGGTCCAGTTTTGAAAGAGGACAGTGTGGATTGTAGTGAAGATGAAAACATCTTAATTTTTATTTTTAATAGATTTTTGAGGGCAATTAAATGTGCCTTCATAGCTGCATGCAGCAGCTATCCTAAAACTAGGATATCATTTCTTTCACTCTTCTCATTATCAAGGGCCATAGTTTACTATAGCACATCAATGATTCCAAAGAGACTACTTCTGCATTGAGATACTGGCTTTTTTATGAAGGGGTATAAGAGTGGTAAAAGAGTGTGGCCTAAAATCCTTGTTGATTAGGAATTTTCAGGTAATTATCCCAGTCTTTGGTGGGGTGGTTTTGTTTGTTTGTTTTAATTTAAGTACTTTTTTTTTTTTAAAAGTGTTTATTTCCAGTGTTAGCTTGCTTTTTAGCAGAAAAAACCCCACCTTCGGATGTTGAGGTTTAAATGTTAGCTGCTAATAAATACATTTTGCAGACATGAATCCACAGTAAAACTTGTGGTTTGCATGCTCTGAGAGACACGTGCTGCTGAGTAAAGATAGAAGACATATTCAGTGGTTTCTCTCTTAAGAACTCTATGACCAGAGTACGAGAGATGCTAAAAATAGAGATGGGATTGTAATAAGTAGGTCACATGGATGCATCTGTCCAGAAAGTGCCAGTTCCAACTGGTACTGTTACACCACTTGCTTTTGTGATTGTTAGTGTTCCTACCAAATTACACACAGCAGAAATCTTACATTGCATCCTGGATGTTAGACTTGTGAAGTTGTGTCAACTTGCATGCTGATACTGAGCTGCAGGGATTTGAGAGAGAGAAATAGCTGAGAAAACCAATGAAGAGGAATATTATTTTGTCTGAATTTTTTGTATGTGCTCCTTTTTGCTTTCAGAAATCATTAGTATGATAGGGTTTTCCAAATAAGTAAAGAGTGAAGTATGTATGTATTAACTAAAGGATTACCGTAAAAATAGCATTGCATATTTGTAAGCGTTCACATTGTTGACAATAAAGGAGAAGGAGGAGTTAAGAGGTTGCAAGGGTGGAGACTATGAAGTTAAAAAAAGGAGAGTAAGCTGGGATAATTTTATCACAAGTTTGTAGCAGTACTTCTTAATCCTCAGAAACCACAGAAGTTTTGTATCGTGGGCATTGAAAGCTGAATATTTAAGTTACTTTGTAATAGGAATTTCATATTACACAAAAATCGTATGGCAGAATATGTCCAACTTCTATTTGAAAATCACGTTTCATCAGTGTTTCTAAGCACCCTGCAGCACAGGGAGTGTTGGAGTTTCAGCAGTACATATGTCTGTGAGAGCCGTGTGCTGTTGTGTTCAGATAATGACACTGCTTTGGTTTTAATACTTTTTAGGGACACAGACGGAAGAATGCTCTTAGATATTTTTGATGAAAACCTTCATCCCCTTTCGGTAAGTTCTGCTGCTTCTCCTTCCCTTTCATGTGAACTGTCTTTCTTCTTTTCTGTCTGCTTCGTTTTGTTTCAGTCACCTATATGGAAGTATTTCTTCCTTAGAAATCCGAAGTGCCACCAGACTATGACAAACATGACCCGGAGCAGAAGCAGATTTACCGCTTTGTTCGGACGTTGTTCAGTGCTGCTCAACTGACTGCTGAATGTGCCATTGTCACCCTGGTGAGTGTCTGAGAGATGACATCAGCCTTCTGACAGACCCAGTTTTGTTCTCAAAGCCTGGGTTTGTATGATTTAATAGATCTAGGTGCTGCCAGCGAATTTTTTCTCACCATGGAGACCAAGGAGATTTCTTGATGGGAAGAGATACTACAGTTCATTTTTCTTGGGGAGAGTAAGTGGTGGAAGAAGAGATTGGGTAGCATGTGACACAAAACCCAGGGTGCCCTAACAGAGTGATAATGTTACAGCCCACCAAGGAGACTCATAGAAAATGCAGGTGGCATAGTTGGTCAGAACAGGAGGGAATGTTAAAAGCAGAAAGGCTTCAACTTTTGGGGGGGTTTGCTGTGTGTCACTGGAGCTCTCAGCAGAGATTCAGGAACAGCTGTAGGTAGTTTGATAGCACTAATAAGAATTGACAGGCACATGAAGGATTTGGTGAGTGACTGGGGCATGTTGGTGATGGTTCTTTTTTACTTCCAATATACTTGTCATGGGATTAACAATTGTACTCAAGTCTGAAGTTTAGCTAATTAAAAATAGCATAGTACAAAAGAAGGTTCAAATTTTCAGCTGGTGTGGATCAGCATAGCAATGTGGATTGAAGGAGCTAAAATGATCTCCACCAGCTGGGAATTTCTTAATTTTCTTGAAATTTTTATCCTGTCAACTTTGAGAAGTCTATTCAGCTTTCAGGCACAATTTTGGCCATGGTCTTGACTTAAAGATTTTAAAATAACAAAATGGTTTTTTACCACTACATGTGGTTTCATAACAACTTTGTTATGCATTTTAGATGGAAGAAGGGGAAATAGGAGAAGGTGGATTTTGAAGCCCAGGCCTACTCATTTCCTCTGTTAATCTATTTCCCTTGGCTTCTAAGATTAGTTGGCAGGTTTTTCTCCTTCAGACAGTCAGAATGAATTGCACTAGCCAGTACAGAACAGGAATATGAGAGAAATAGGGCAAGAAACACCCTGCAGTGCTCCACCCTTACATTTTGTAGTATTACTCTACCTAGTTACTTGACCCAGCCATTACTTGTTTTCTGAAATGACATTTTACCTGTCTCTTTTACATAATTGCACTAAGTGCTTGTCCTTCTTCCTTTTCTTCCTAAGTGATTTCTGCTGGAGACAAGATATGTTGTGTGAATCAGTATGTTCCTCTGTAATTTAATTAATCCACTGTCAAATACAGTCTTGTAGTTTATCTGTTATTCAATCTTAGGTTATTTGATCAATGCAGGCACTGTGTAGTAGAAAGGGAAGGGGGCTTTTATGTGGTTTTTTTTAGTAGCAGTATCTTCCTGCTACTGCAATGCATGGAAAATTCTTTCCCAAAAATCATGTTAACCCAGGCGTAGATTTCAATATCTTTCATTTTTACCTTCTTCCTCGCTACTTCTGGTTCTTGTGTGGTTTCCTTGCAAGTGACTCTTTTGGTGTGAGGATTTTAACTCATTTTGTTATATTACAGAAAAAGTTTCCATTGTTAGTGCTTGAAAACTTATGTGACTTGGTTACATGATAACAGGGGAATGTATTACAGCCTGGTTCTCAAAGCAGCCACACAGATGTTTATAGACAGATTTGGTGCAGGTGATCACAGTTTACTGTTTGGCTATTCTTGCCCTGTTTTCAGGATAATAGCACCTGCCTGACCTGTTTCTCCAGAAACCTTCCAAGTTTTTGGATGGTGTTTTACAAGTATGAAATTCTTCTGCTGCTGTTCTTAATTTGCTCTCTACTTGTAGATTCCATTTCTTTTTTTGTTCCTGTCATCAGGAGGTGCCCCAGACACAGATTTGTGTTGTTTCTGAAATATTCAAATGTGGAAATTAATCTATGAAAAAGCAATGAACCTTTTCCCCCTCCCCACACTCCTGAAATCTTGATAGTGTTGATACTGCTATTCATGAACCTTGCAAGTGCTTTCAATTTTGATATCCTGTCAGGAGAAGAAATCAGCATTCCCTGCTGGAGCTTATGTTTTGCCATAGTCTGGCCTCCCGTCGGAGAGCAATCTGATAGCCCTGTCTGCCACTTGTTCCCCCTGGGAGGATTGCCAGAAGGCAGGAAGTGTATCTGTGGGGATCACAGTACATTTTGAACAAGATGCTACAGCTTTATCTTTCTTTCACTGACGCTAATTATTTTTAGACTGTCCTAACCACCCCTTTTTACTGCCCACACTATTAACATGGCCTGGGGTGTGTGGTTGAATGCACTCACTGTTTGTCTTGGTACCTGCCATTAGCCAGGTAGAAGCAGCAGTAACAATTAGTTCTATAGCAGTGTGTGTTCAGCACAGGAGCTGAGTAAATTTGAAACTCCAGACTATGAGATAAGCCAGTCTCCAGCAAAAAGCCAGCATTGTGTTGCTTCAAGCACTTAATTAAAATATTTCAATTAAAGCCTCCACTATTACAGCAAAACCAATTTATAATTAAACAAAAAATTTAATTTTCATACAGCCTCCAGAGCTGCCAAGAGATTTCCCATACTGATAGGTAGAAAATTAAAATCTCAGGTTGAAACAATTAAGTACAAATTCGCATTATTTATTTATAAAATAATACCATAAGAATAAAATCAGTTTTAGGAATCATGCTGCCGATTTAAAGCATTGCAGATAGTGTTTTTAATCCCAGACAGTAGCTAAACTACAGTCTGTGACCTGACTTCATGAGGGAAGTAATGCACGTGTGTGTCTCCCTTGCCCCAGAGTATTCTCACCTTTACAAAGCTGAGAAATGCCTGTTTCCTCTTTACTATCTCTTAAAGTGCAGCGGTGGCAAGTTGTACTTATGTTAATCTACTAATTGGATGGCAAATAAAAATGTGAACAGGAGCGTAGCAACAGAAAAGCAGTACAGTGTTTGCATGTCAGGAGCATTAAATATTTATGCTCTGTTCTTTTGTTCTGTGAAAACAATCCTATGAACTAGACCTGAAGAGCAGAATGGGCCAAGTTTTCTGCTTTGCCTTGACATGACTTTCTGAGTTTTTTGCAAATAGGTCAGATTTAAGGTTCTTTTAATATATTTCCATGTCCATAGTAGTTTCGGAGAGGACACATTTTGCATTTGCAGATGTGCTAAGTCTGTGTGCTATAGACTGGTCAGATACAGTTATATGTAAATACATATAGCACATGAGCTGAATTATTCTGTGAAGTTCAGAGGAGAATGCTTTTGAAATACAGTACGAAGTTCATACTGTACTGAGGGGATTTGATATTGGGAAATCCAAAATTTGAAGTATGTAAGAATAAATTCTCCTTATGCAAAATAGGGATTCAGTTAATCCAACCAGATGTTCCTGAGTTCTTCTTGTACTCTTTGGTCACATTTTCAGCATTTAGGTAAAAAGAGAACACTCTTGAACTATAGTATGAAAATTACTGTATTTAGGAGAATTTTGTTTTCTGTGTTTGGAGGAATGGAAAAAGTTTTTTGTTGATTTCCTTTCACTGAAATATTTTTACTTTCAAATGCTGAGAAAATACCTTCTTTAAAAATATATATTTCAATTGACATATAAAAAAATCTGCTACTTCTCTAAAAGAAAACAAAACCACAAATGGAGGGATCAGAGTCCATTGAGACACTTGATCTGCAGCAGAGGTCCTTTTCAGGGGGCTCCATAGAACTACCAACCTTTAGAGGGCTGATGGAAGGTGCAGGTTCCTCCTAAGACCTTGGAGTACAATGCAAAGTGATTATTTATTGCCTAGTGTGCTGTTATCACTCTCCATCCAGTGACTGTAATGGGTTGTGAGTGCAGTTGGGTGGTAAGGAAGGCAGAGCTATGAAGCTGGGCTCTGTCTTGTGTAAGAAACCCATGAGGAGAGTTGTGTATATCCAGTATTGCTGGTGTCCACCTTTGTCCTGGGCTTCAAGCACTCCCTGGGAGGTGGCTGAAGCCCAGCACTTGGCCACACATGGAGAAGGTCCCTCTGTCTGTGATGTGAATCCTGAGCCTCTTGGCAGCTGGACATGTGTCAGGGTACATTCTGGAGGAAGCCAAGAGGAACAAGGGCTTTGTAGCTGTGCTCCAGGCCTAATAGTTTGAGTGCATTTTTTATGTATTATGGATATTTGTCTTCAAATGAGTAAATTATGGGGCAAACCTGGAGACGTGACCTTTCAGTTGCATTAGTGTTTCCTATAATTATCTACAATGGTACTTAGCAGTTGTTTTTTCAGAGTTTTGTGGCTGCTTTTGTTATTTCTTTTTACCATTTGGTCTCAAAACCAAAAATGGGATGAATTTGCAAGAACCATGATGATGTGATGTCCTTTTCCACCAAATGGATGGCACCAGGCCTTTGTGGAACATTTTAAATGCCCAGCTGGGCAATTGCAAAGCACAGTTATTTCTGGAGAGTCGTGGTAGGGAACTGGCTGATTGCATAAAGCAGAGCATATGGCAGTTTAGTGATTGGATTAGAGCCGTGATTTGGCTATATGAGACCCACTACCAATTATAATCTTTTCTGTATAGATATCGTTTTAGTTTCAAGGCATTGTGACACACTGAAGTTTTCTCATTAAAGCAAGAGGACTCTGTGTTTCTCCATGATCTGTTGGGATGGAAATATCTTCAGGAGTTATTCTATGCTCCTGCAACTTACAATGTGAGTTACCTAGTGAGGGAGGGCATGAGGTTTTTGCAAATACAGGCTCATTTGTAGATTCTCAATTATGAATTGTGGTAATTTTGATAATTAAAATACCAAAAACATTGTCTTCTTTCTGTGTCTGTAAATCAAGTGAGAAATAATTAAAGCCACCAGAGTTTGACTGGTAAAATAGAGATAGAATTTGACATAAAACCATATAAAAATTGCATGAGAGAAGATAATGCTTTGCTGCCTCAAAATTCAGAATTCTTCTAGTAATGTCAGTGATGTTCTTCAGTGATTGCCCACTTAGTGTGCTGAGACTCCCTGTCAGCCTCCTTGGAGGCAATGCACAACTTCTGACCTCTCCATGT